TAGCCTTGAGCTGAAGAGCTGAGGGACAGCACCCAGGCCCAGAGTTCAAGCCCCACAACTGACAAAAACAAAACAAAACAAAAGTTGTTATTATAAAGGTGATGTACAAAGGGGTTATAGTTACCTAAGTCAGGTAGAGTACATTTCTTTTTTATTTTTATTTCGTCAGTCAGAGGACTTGAACTCAGGGCCTGGGTACTGTCCCATAGCTGTTTTGCTCACGAGTAGCACTCTACTGCTTTGAGCCATAACTCCACTTCTGGATTTCTGGTGATTCATTGGAGATAAGAATCTTATGGGTTTTCCTGCCAAGCCTCTTGAGTAGCTAGGTTTATAGGTGTGAGCCACGGGTGCGTGGCTAAGAGAACATTTCTTTTTGGACAATATCATGCCTTTGTTCCCTCTCTCCCAATTTCTCCCTCCCATCCATACCCTATAGTTCTTTTTTTTGGTCAGTTGTGGGGCCTGAACTCTGGGTCTGGGCGCTGTCTCTCAGCTCTTCAGCTCAAGGCTAGTGCTCTACCACTTGAACCACAGCACAACTTCCAGCTTTCTCTTTTTATGTGGTGCTGAGGAATTGAGCCCAAGGCCTCATGCATGTGAGGCAAGCGCTCTACCACTGAGCCACCTTCCCAGCCCCCTGTAGTTCATACTCACAGTGTCTAATGAGCACCACTGCTGCGTTTGTCCCATTTTGTTAATTTCTGTGGTTTCTTTTGTTATTGTTAATGTTTTAGTTCTAGTCCTGGGCTTCAACTCAGAGTAGATGCTGTTCCTGAGCCTCTTTTGCTCAAGACTGATGTCTGCCACTTGAGCCACAGCTCTACTGCCGGCTTGTCTCACAGACTTTCTCGCCTAGGCTGGCTTTGGATTATGCTCCTCAGATCTCAGCCTCCTGAGGAGCTAGGATGATAGATGTGAGCCACTGGTGCCTGGCCAGGGTGAGGTTTCTGAATAATTTAGAATGTTCTCTCTGATCCAGAAAGGGGTGACTCTGAAGGAGGTACCCATGGTCTTCTATGACCTTCCAGATTCCAATGGAGGTGTAGGGTTAGGAGTGTGTTAGTGGAGTCAGGACAGGGTCTGCTTCCCCACATTCTCCAAGGTTCCTGAGCAAACCCTACCATACCTCAAAGTGAGAGAAATGGACCACATAGCCATGGGTTTGCATCGTGTAGGTGCATCTCTGTGTGTGTGTGTGTGTGTGTGCACATGCATGCGTGTGGTCAGATACAGGAGTGGGAAAAGCAGCTGGCCCTCCCAGCACTAACTTACAGGGAAGGATCCTAGGAAGGCCACTCCATGACCCTTTGTGGCTGGGCGGTGTGCAGCAACCTCCTTCCTGTTACCAGTATTTCCCTCTGTGTCTCCCCTCTGCACGGGGCTCACCCACTTCCTGGAGTACAGCCTGCAAAAAAGCCAGAGGGGCCGTGTCAGAGCTGCTGGCTACGCTGGCTAGGAGGCGGCCAGGCTCAGAGACATCTGATCCAAGCCCTGACTCTGCTTTTGACCATCTCCAAGGCCTAAAAAAGCTACTTAGATCTACTGAGCCTGTTTTTTCCTTCATAAAGTGAAGATAAAAATAGTGCTTTTGTGGGAAAGAATGGGAGGGGGAAACTTGGGGAAAGCAAAGGAAGGGGTGACATTGCCCAAAAAAGAAGTATACTCATTACCTGACATACGAAATGGTAGCCCGCTTACAACACCTTAATAATAATAATAGAATTATATTAACAATAGTGCCTTTGTGAGTCTCAAATAAGATTAAAGACCATGTAGAGAACTTGGCACAGAGATCTACCATTATCATGGTCATAGTTAAGGCCTCTTGGTGCTCTCCCTCCCTCTCTCTCTTCCTCCTCCCTCTCTCCCTCTCTTTCTACCCCCTCTCTCTCCCTCCCTCCCTCCCTCCTTCTCCCTCCCTCCCCC